GTTTGCCAGGCAGGCACTTAAACCACTGAGCTATATTCCCAGCCCAAATACAAACTTTTTTTTTCTTTTGTGGTACCAGGGATTGAACTCAGGACCCTGCGCTTGCAGGGCAGGTACTTGTTCTACTGAGCTATCTCCCCAGCCCCCCCCCCAGGGTCTCTTAAAGGGCTCTTATAGCAATCTGAGTTAATTTCTCAGATGCCAGTGAGATTTATGGATCAAGTCATGGAAGTGAGGACTTCTGTGGAGCAGACACTATCCTGAGCCCTACCCTGGGCATCCACCAGAGGTGGCCACTGCTGTGGCTGTGCCTCTCAAGCTGGTGATGCATGTGGCAGGCTGATTCCATGGCCACCAATTTAGTGGCTCCCAGAGAGGAACTGCCTCTTCTCTCCTGAGCAGAGCCAGAATGCTCCTGACTGGCATCTTGGGGACCTCAGCTGTCCATTGCTAGTGAGCTTTGACCAGAGGTGGTTCTTCCTTGGCTCATAGTCCCCTCAGAGACCAGAAATGACAGTGGCCCTACAAAGCCAGGTGCACACCCCTTCCTCAATGGAACTCTTTTCTCCAAGATTTTATGAAATAGACTAACTCACCTTCTCTTTTAGTTTTGGCTTCCTTTCCTGCCTTTTCTATCCCTCTGTTGAGGGATGGAAGACAAGAGGAGGAAACTGCAGTGCCTAGCGGAGGCAGTGAAAGAAACGTCCTCACAGGCCTCTGCTTGTCCAGGGTCTGCAGGACTTATGAATTCCATTTTAAATTGTCGTCATCAGAGGTCAGCTTTAGGCTAACCTCTCTGACTTGGGAAATACATGCCAAGAGATCTGAGCAGGCAGACCTTCCAACTCCACTGAGGTGGAGGGCTGCACAGTACTAGGCCCCACGTGCACCCCCAGGAGATGAAGGGGCTCCTGAAGATCCCAGCCACAGGGTGTCCTGCATGTGTCCCCACCTCACTGGAGTGTCATGGCCAGGTACAGCTTGCTTCAAACTGAGAAGCTGGCTGTTCCCCACCTTCACCCACTCACGGCTCACCTCACACCCTGCTGTCACTGTCAACAAGGAGTGTGAACACAGCCCCTCTTCATGTTGCCACCATTCACTTCTTGTTTTTTGGCTTTTGGTTTTTTGTTTTGTTTTGTTTTGGGTTTTTTTGGTGGAACCGGGGGTTGAACTCAGGCCCTTGCAGCCATTCACTTCTTTTGGCTTCCACTTCTGCATGTCTTTCTGTAAGAAAATCACGTGCTGGCTGTGGTGGTGCACACCCGTAATCCCAGCACTCAGAAGGCTGAGGCAGGAGGATCACTGTGAGTTCAGGGTCAGCCTGAACTACACAATGATACTTTATATCAGAAAGAGAGAAAGAAAGAAAGAAAGAAAGAAAGAAAGAAAGAAAGAAAGAAAGAAAGAAAGAAAGAAAGAAAAGAAAGAAAAAAAGAAAAGAAAGAAATCAAGGAATCACGGGTTGGACATGTACACATAACTTAAGATCTCAATGGAAGTTGTCATTGTCAGTGGCTTCTAGGGCAACCTAATTTTATTGAAGTGTTTTATGTTACCAGGCCAAAATTATGTGCTCTTCTATATGCAAATGCATTGGTTGCAAAAACTACGAAGAAAGCCCAGAACGAAAAACACTGATGAGCATTCCGAAGTCTACAGAACCTGGAGAATTTGAAGGCAGCCATCACTGGTCACCAGCTAAAATTTTGGGACTACCAAAATTCAGAAAAGATAGGTAGGCACTGTGAGCTAACAGGGTCAGGAGAGGTTATGAGAGGGGCGCTAAAATCAATTTCCACACTGGAAGGGGGCGGGGAGCGGCTGTTCTGTGTCAGACCCCATCAGACTCCAGACCCCTCAGGGACTGTTCAGGGCCAGCTGTGCCCTGCTCATCCTAGCTTGGCCTTTTTGTCCTCTCTGTCCCATACCTGTCTTGTACAAGACCAAAGGGTCCAGCCAGTGCTAGCAACCAGGCCAGCCGTGCTCCTGTGCTGCCCCACACACCCAGGCCAGGCCATCCGGGTGGGAGCGGCCCATGTTCCTTACACACGCTGCTCTTTCACACAGGGTTTATAGATTCCAGGCTCTTGGCCACTTTCCCATTCAGTGATGTTTTTCTTTCTTTTATATTTTGGGGTACTGGGGATTGAACTCAAGCACTTGTGCATGCTAGGCAAGTACCACACCACTGAGCTACATCCCCAGCCTCCCACTCAATGACTTTGAAGCCATATTATAATCTAGCAGGTCTCGACAACTGAGCAATAATTTTACTTATTAGACTTGATTCATTTACTTAAAAAATTTGAGTTCCATGTAATAGGTCATATCCTGATAAACTACCAGATGTCATTAGTAAATAAATTTCATTTAGCAAAGCCAAATTCATGCTTTGTTGGTCAGAGAGACATTAGGAATGCCCAGGAGACTTCTTAAGCCTGGCCGTAGCATGTGAAGGAGGCATGGGGTGCTGTCACGCCCTGTGGGGGGGGATGGCAGAAGGGCCAGAAGGCGACTGAGGTCCCCCACACTAGACCCTGGACTTGCTCCTGCCCAGCCCAGGGGGTGACACTGTAGGCCAGGAGTCCTGTCTGGGTCGGTGGGCAGATACAATTCTAGGATCAGACATTCAAGGGAGAGGGATGTCCAGCAGCTGATAGCTTGGCCTATCCTCCGTGTTATTCTTCCCAACACAACCCTTTATGCTGGAGGAAAGTGCGTACCCATGATAATCTTCTTCACACTGACATGGATAAGCAGTGTTCTGCTGGATTGAAAAGATACTTAGCTGGTGTAGTGACAGAGACCTGTGAATCTCAGTACTCTTAGGAGGCCAAGGCGGGAGGATTGCAAGTTTGAGCACAGCCTGCACTATTTAAACAACTTGGCAAGACCCTGTCTCAAAATTTAAAAGGAGGTGGGGATGTAGTTCAGTGCAAAAGTCCTGGGTTCATTTCCCAATGCTATAGGAAAGGAAGACAAAAAAGGGAATGAAAGAGAAGAGGAGAGAAAGTAAAACAGAAGAGGAGGAAAAGGTACTCAGAAAAAGTGTGCTCCCGAGCATGGCCTAACCAGTCTCCCGGTCTCTTTCCCCAGGCGGCCCTCTTCCTGCATCTCCTGGGAGGTGGTGGAGGCCACATGTGCCTGCCTGCTGGCCCAGGGCGAGGAGGCTGAGAAGGACCACTGCTCACAATGCCTGGCTGAGCGGATGATCCTCGAGGAGTTTGGGCGATGCTTGTCACAGATTCTTCACACTGAGTTCAAGTTCAAGGGGCTGAAATTTGAACCAAATACAATGTAGTTGAGTGTGAACACAGTGCTGTCCTTAGAGGAGCACAGGTGGCCAGACAGTTGGCTGCTCGGGACCCAGCTCTCCCCTGGGGGACCTATGGGCTCACGCAGGTGCTCTGAGGGAGGTGGCCTTGTGTGAGGAGGACAGGATGTGGGCATTACATCTGACAGGAGCACTTGGGGTCCAGGCCAGGAGGGACAGCTTGTTCCTCTCTGGAGTGTGGTCCCCCAGGCCAGCCTGTATAAGGAAGTGGGATGGTTCTTGATTTTGGTTTTGTTTTTCAAATTAATTTGCCAGAGTGGCTTCTTTGATGCAACTTAAACTCTCCACTGAATACCCTAGATTTCTGAGTGCAGACAGCCCCAAAATCACAAGGACATGGGAACAAGATGGTGAGGTCCAGCTGGGAAGGCTAACAGCAAAACTCAGGGTCACAGAGCTGCCAATTGTGTTCAGTTTCTCATGTGCTTCTACTTGAATTGTGGAAAAGCTCATTATTCACTTAACTTATCTATAATTATTGTTATGCTATTATTTCTTGTAAAATATGGTTAAAGCAATTAGCTTGCATGAACTGACAGGGAAGATTAGTTGTGGTGCTTCTCTGTTGTATGTAAAGGTAAAAAGATACAGATTTCCAAGGTCTTTAGTTGTTACAGTTAACATGGTAACTGAAAATATATTTGTCTGGTTAATGCTCATCCTGAAATAGATTAAAATAGTTTCTTTTCATATGTCTGGGTTTGTTAATCTCTCAGCCGCTGTCTCAGTTACTTTTCTCTCGTTGCTGGGACAAAATACCCAACACCCAAAGTGAAGGAAGGAACGATTTATTTAGCTCACAGTTAGTGGAGGTTTCGGTCCATACTCCTCTGGTTCCAAGGCAGAGCGGCACATGGCAGAGGACAGCTGTTCATGGTGGCGGAAGGCAGCAAAGGGCGGGGCAGCAGCTACGACTTCTAGCAAGTGTCTCCCTCCTCCTTACACTTGTACGTAGAGTATCTGCCCAGGGCACTCCCACCCATAATCCCAGCATTGGATCGTGAATTAATCCAAAGACTAGAAGCTACCCCATAACTACGTGAGGCTTTGGGGGGACACCTAGACACAAACCATAACAGCCACTAAAGGATGACAGAGCTCTAGGGGCTCACATGGTGGGGGCAGGCACTGGTCACACCAGGAGGCCAAGACAGTGCAGCACATGTTAGAGCTGGGTTTGGAACAGCCTGCGAGGCACAGGGGGGAAAAGAGAGGCTTCATTCTTGGCCTACACAATCGCTCAAGGTGTTCCCCCAGGTAAAATAGCGTGAGATGTGCCTGAAACCCACACACACCCTCCTGCGTATCGTAACCCATCTTTAGATTGCTTGGATAGCAAACACATTCCCCTTTTAATTAGTGTATGTTCACGATACATAATGCATTCACTGTGGCACTCTGGTGCGTGTACACATCACGTCTTAATTCTTTTTATTTTTCCTCCACCACTCATTTGCTCACTCTCATCTTCCCCATCCCAGAACCCCTTCCCAGTGCTACAGTCTTTCTCCACTTCTTAGTATCTTCTATTTTTCTCTTTATTTATAATTTTTATTTCTTTTTTTTTTTTTGCGGAACCAGGGATTGAACTCAGATCCTTGCATTTGCCAGTCAAGCGCTTATCCTACTGAGCCATCTCCCCGGCCCCTATAATTTTTATTTCTAATGTAAAAGAAACCATGCGATATTTAATGTGTGCCTGCTTTAGTTCATGTAGCTTTATGGTCTTAAAGTGTATCTATTGTCCTCCAAGTGACGCAAATCTATCCTTCCTCTTGGCAGAGTAATATTCCATTGCATATAAATGCCACATTTTCTTCATCCATCCACTGAGACATAGGCTGCTTCCAAGATTTAGCTGCTGGGGGCCAGAGAGATAGCTCTAAAGTACCTGCTTAGGCAAGCACAGGAACCGAGGTTTGGTCCCTGGCACCACATGCTGGGCCTGCTCTGCCCCAGGGTAGGTGAAGATAGCCACAAAAAAAGAAAAAAAATATATATATGTGTGTGTGTGTGTGTGTGTGTGTGTGTGTGTGTGCGCCACATTTTCTTCATCCACTGATAGACATAGGCTGCTTCCAAGATTTAGCTGTTGTAAATTGTGCTTCCATCAGCAAGGTAAGCAGGTACCACTGTACTATCATGCCTCTGTTTCAGGAAGATACCTAGGAGGGGAGCAGCTGGGTTAAACGAAATTGCTAATTTTCATATTTTTAGGAATCTCTGTACTGATTTGCATATGCTATGTAAGTAGTTTTTTTTTATTCATCTGTGTGTTTGGTACAGGGTCTCATTATGCAGATTGGACTTGTGGTGATCCTTCTGTTTTCAGCCTCCCCAGCCCTGGAATTACAGGCGTGCGCCACCACACCCAGTCTCAGTGGCCCTCAGCACACCGGGGGATGGGGATGGCGAGGCTTGTGGTGCCTGGGATCAAACCCAGTCCCTACACTTGCCTAAGCAGGTACTTAGTCCACTGAGCTATCTCGCTGGCCCTTCAAGATTATTTTTTGTGATCCTGGGCTTCATGTGGCTAGCCAAACACTCTACCACTTGCCCACATCTACTCTTTTAAAGGATTTTTATCTTGAGACAGAGTCTTGCTAAGTTGCCAGGCTGGCCTTGAACTTGTAGGCCTCCTACCTCAGCTTCCCACATGGCTAGAATTATAGGCAGGTGCCAGTAAGCCTGGCTGTAGTTTTTTGTTAGCGTTATTTTGTGGATATTTCTGATTTGCTCTTGGTTGAGTCAGAAGATGCAGAAACTGATTGCCAGAGGCCTGCTATACTGTCATTGTGTGGAATGGTCACTGTCTAGAACGTTCATTGTAGGGAACAGTCATTTACAGAATAGTCCTGTGTGGAACAGTCTGGTGAAGCTGTCACCTGCACTAGTGTATTCTCTTTGGGAGAAGTCATGTTCTGTGGCTCTTCTGAGAGTTGTCACCTCATTTTCTGGGCAGCAACGAGTACTTCTTTTGTCCCCTGCCATGTGTTCCTTTCCTGGCCTTCCAGCTTCCAGTACCTTCCCTACTGCTTATTCCTAAGAGGAAGGCAAGGTCTGTAGGAGGAGCTGCTGGAGCTGGGGAGGCCCTGCACATGTGTCTGGAGACTGGGTGGCCAGGGCAGTGCCCACCACCACTCTCAGAGCCCTGAGAGCACAGGCTCTGCCTGAACCAGGGCGTGGAGCATCTGAGTAGGCTGCTTGGCCCTCAGGGAGTCACGGCAGCTCGAGAGACCCAGCTAACTGGAAGGCTGCAGGCTCCAGGGCTGGGTAGAGCAGCCTGGGCCTCATCTCTGCCCAGCAGTAGCAGCAGCAGCAGCAGCAGGGGCCTTACTGTGAGTACAGTGTGGCCTCCTGGCCTGGCATGGCCTCAAGGACCCAGATGTTGATGCACTCAGAGAATGGAAGAGCGGGGGAGGAGGGAGGAGCCCTGCAGATGGAGCAGGAGGAAGCCCAGATGCAAAGCCAGGCCTGAAGGCTCAAGGCAGCCGGAGTGGCTGAGGTGGGAGACCGAGCAGGAGCAGGCAGGGGGACAGCAGGCTGTGCTGGGAGCTGGGGCTTGAGCAGCTAGTGGAAGGAGGGAAGTGGCAACTGTCCGGAGTCTCACTGAGCAGAGACAGAAGGATTCTGCATCCTTTGGTGCGGGTCTGAGGTAGGACTCACCCCTGGATGTTCCTGCCCCTGGCCTTCACTGAGGGAAGTTGTTCCCAGACTGAGTACAGAGGCCAATGAGCCACAGGGCTCCTGCCTGAGTCCTGCTGCTGGGGCTCCAGGGGAAGGGTGTGCTTGGTAAGCGGCTTAGCAGAGTGATTGCTGGCTCCTTTTTTTTTCTTTGGCCTGTTTCCTGAATTTTTTCTTTTTTCTTTTGAGACAAGGTCTTACTATGTTCTTTAAACTGGCTTAGAACCCTAGTGCTCAAATGATTCTCCTGCCTTAGCCTCCCAAATAGCTGAAACAATGGGCCTCACCTGCATTCTTTCTGCCCCTCTCTCTGCCTTCTCCCTGCCCCCTTTCTCCTCTGCAGCCTCCCTGCATACACATCTGGTCTGACATGTGGTTCAGAGCTCACACTTGCCCTCCTATCCTGGCCACACATCAGGCAGCCTCCTCCCCTGGCTGGCAGTCTCTCTGCCCCACTCAGCACCTTCACAAGTACCAGTTGTCCACTGACCCTGTGCACCCTGTCCCCTAAGGAGCAGCTCCTCTGGCTTAGCTCCATCAGCATCTGTGACTCAGCTCACAGTAATAGCACACCCTAGACACAATAAGAGGAGGTGACTCAGACTTTGATATGGAATTTGGGTTTATGATTTATGTCTTTTTTTTTTTTTTTGTGGTACTGGAGATTGAACTCAGGACCCTGTACTTGTCAGGCAAGTGCTTATTCTACTGAGCTATCTCCCTGGCCCTTAAAATTTATGTCTAACACACATGATTATCATCCAGATTCATCTTTTAAGACACACTGGAGGCAGCAGCCTTGTGATTCAAGTGTAGAAAAATCAGAAAAATCCCAAGTAGTTGCTAGCTTTTATTTTGTCACTCAAAATAATTACAAAACAAAGGAAAACTCAAATTGTAACAATACAGCATCAAAGCACACAACAGAGATGATTTACTCCACAGGGACTGGCATAAGTTTATCCTCATCTTAGTGTGACTTTAAATCACAACCCAGATGACCACACTGGGAAAGCTGTCGGCTCAGGACTGTTCCACGTCCTCAGAGGAGCCTGCTGAGGGGACGCCCGGGAGGCTGCCGAGGAGCCCGGCCTCTGTGGAGATAAGAACACAGGGTAGCAAGGCCTACGGAGAAGCACCCCACCCAGCGGCCCCCAGGGGCTGTGTGCACGCTTTCAGGGACTCAGGACCACACCCCGACTTTGGTCAGTGCTCCGTTTCCTACCCTTCTCATGACTTAACCCCCCTTGACTGTTTGATGCCATCAGACTCTCTTGTCCATGTTCTCTAGAGTGCTGTTTAGAAACAAGAACTGGTGTATCCTAATGAAAGAATTCCCCTGTCACAAAATTTGAAACAAAATAAAACAAAAATGCCTGGCAGCACCCATCAGTTCCTTGCAGGAAAAGGCTCCCGGAGGCTCCCGCACAGGGACAGGGGCCCTCAGCTTGGGGATGTTGAGCAAATGCCAGGGTTTCTGAGTCCCCCTCCCGTACTTCCTGCCTGGGATGCGTCGTTGAGGGCCTGAGCAGCAGGCCTAATCCTCCCCACACCCTCCAGGTCCTGCAACCAGAGCATTTACAGCAAAGTCACTAGAAGAACCCAGGTTTTAGTCTGGTCCTTGCCAAACTCAACAACAAAGGGATCCCAAGTGACTCCTGGAAAGTCAGTCCCCTTCCTGCTGGTCACACTGGCCTCTGCAGTTCTGACCCAGGACTATCCGAGCAGGTCTGTGCAATCAAAGGCAGCCTGCCTTGCAGGAAAGCTGCACAGCGAACCCTGCAGTCTGAAACAGGGCCCCTCGGTTCCCAAGTTCACAGAACATGGCTTCAGATGGCTTCTGGAGCCCCGGGCTTGTGGCCTACCACTGTCCTAAAGGGAACAACCACTGTCACTGTGCCAATAAATATGAGCACTGGAAGCCCCACTTCCGGTGGTAGCAGTTCTGGTTTGATGATCCTTGCAGGGACGGTGGTGTGACTGTGGCGAAATCCCAGCCCTAGCGCAGCCAACACGTGCCCGTGATCCTAGCAACAGCTATGTAGGACCATGTCAGCTGCCTCCCGCTCTATGGAACTCCCCCTTTTTTTCAATAATGAAAACTGAACCACGACCTAGGCTATATCCCCAGCTTTTTTATTATTACTTTTAGACAGGGTCTTATTAAGGTATAAATTATCTAGGCTGTGCTCAAATTTGTAATCCTGCCTCAGCCTCCCCAAGTGCTAGGATTACAGGCCTATCCCAGCAAGGCTGACTAGTTTTAGGGGATTTGTTTGTTTTTTTGAATTGATATGTTGTTATGTTGTCCAGCCTGAAACTGAACTACTAGGCTCAAGAGATCCTCCTGCATCAGCCTCCTAAGTAATAAATGTGGGCCACCACACACAGTTTATGGAATCCTTTCTTAGAAGACGCTGTGTGTACAGAGTTCTAAGAAATGACATGTTCTTTGCGTGTGAGTTTGGGGGCGGGGTGGGTGTGTGCTGGGGATGGAACCTCACAAACGCTAAGCAAGTGCCTGCCATGAGCTACAACTCCAGCCCCAAATGGCATTTTATATCAGTACTATTTCACATACCTTTGAGATGTAAGAAAGTCAGAAACTCAAGTATGGTACGCACGACGTTGTTCTCAGGCAATGACCTGTCAAAGCTTCCTACAAGGCAGGAAAGACCAACATTCCGAGCTGGCACCATACTGACCCCGCTGCTCCCCCCACCCATCACCCACCCTGGGGAGGAGCTGAGGTCTGTGGGACCTGGGAGCCAGCCCAGGGCCTGAGGCCATGGTGATTCCCAACCCCGTGCCTGCCCCTGGCATACCCTGGGAGGTGGTAGGGAGCGGAGGAGCCCAGGACCAAGCCACTCACCTGTCTGCACGTCACCATCCTGCTGGAGCTCCCGCTTGCCAGCGAGGCCATGCTTGTCGCTGAATGATCTATGGTTGTCAATGGCATCTGCTCACAGATCACAGAGGAGGGCATGTGACTGCTATTGCTATGATTTGTGTCCTCCGCTCAGAACCAAAACACATAACTAGACTATGAAAATAAATCAAAGCCCAAAACTCCAGAAAAGGGGGAGTCAATCCTAAGGGACCTGAGAAAGGACAGGGGCTGCGGGTAAATGTGACCATCTGCACAGTTCTCAGACAAGTGTGGGTCCCAGCAGGGAAGATGGGCTGCGGAAAGGAGGGAGGGAGATGGGGCTGAGGGAGTGTGTGTGTGTGTGTGTGTGTGTGTGTGTGTGTGTGTCTTGATTGGGGTGAAAATGGGTGCTGTGACTGCAGCAGAGGTTTGATTCAGGTCAAGAATACTAAGTGACACGGACACTAAGCCCCCCAGTGGTACTCAGCAGGAGTGACTGGGCTGGATGGGGCACATTTGAGAGAGAAACAGAAGAGGAGGATGAAGGTGTGGCTCAGAGCTTCTGGCTACCTGGCCTGGATGGCTGTGGCACCTACAAGGCCAGGCGGAGGGCTATTCATTCATTTTTCCAGAGACAGAGTTCTCGGCACTAAATAGATAGAGAAATGAGGCAGCCTGATGTCAGAGTTGCCTCTCAGAGAAGGGGGACCCAGGTAACCCCAGAGACCCAGGGCGAAGCCCACAACTGCTCACCCATACCCGCATGTCTGCTGACCCAGGTAGGGCAGCCACACAAACTCAGAGTGACAGTGAGTTTGTTTCCTAGTCATGATTCAGAATGCCCTGGGAGCAACACATCTTCCACATGCCAAAGGATGGGGCTAAGTGTTGTCCTGAGAGTTCTTCCTTTCTTTGGGGCCTGGTGAGGAACGGAACTCAGGCTGACATAGGCTTAAGGACAGGAAATCCCCAGAACTACCCCCCCACCTAGGTGTTGGGAGGGCTCCCAGGAGCTGGCACAGGTGACCCTGCATGTGGACCCGACCCAGGTAGTTTTTGTCAACTCTACACCTGCCTTCCTCAAAACAAGACCCAAAATCAAACACTCGCAGTGAGAAGCCACCTGCCTCTCAACACTAGGATTCACAGCCTTCCTCTTCTGGAGCTTTTAAAATACCACACTCCCCTCTCCCTCGGGTGGGTCTAGCTATGAGAAATGTGCTGTTCTTCTTCCTCAAGGCTGGAGGCAGGAAATAGGGGATATTTGTAAGGGTAGATGCTTGTCCACATCTGATCATGCCTACAAAACTAATGCCATCCTAGGTAGGAGATGATGGGATGGGGCCACAGCCTTCCCTCACCACTTCCTTTAGAATTCAGGTCCAAAGGCATCACTCCAAAGGCCAGGGCAAGCGGCAAACGGGTGGCCGGGCCCCACTTAGGGCCTGTCTCCCCAGGGCAAGCCTCTCTCTGGCCTCTGTCTGACTCTTCCACGTCCTCTGCTCCTACCCACTCCCTGGGCCTGTGTGCTTGTCTATAGATGCCACTGCGGAACCAGGGTATCTCCAAAGACCCCAACAGCCCAGACAAGGAGATCCTTCTACAAGGATTCCCTAGTCCGGCGCCTCCCACTAATCCACACAATGACAAACACAGGGACAAGACACCAGGTTAGTACACCCGATGGTGGCAGAATCTGGATATTGATGGATGTGGCTCAGAACTACACTTCAACGCATTCTACACTCATCCCCACAACTGCCATCACCACAGCAAGGCCTGACTGATGCACACAGAAATCTGCCAAAGCCCTCTGATTACACGTCCCCCAAACTCAGCTTTGAAAGCAGAGAATGCACTGATGGGGCTGGCTGTGGTGGGATCTTAGCATTCTAAGTCCTGCTTACACCTGTTAAACCCATGAGGATGCATGCGACAGACTCTGACTGCAGAATACCAAGCAGGAGACTAACATTAGTGCAAGCCCTAGTGACAGAGTGGCTGGGGACAGAGAGGAGAAGGGACAAGCTCATTCAAGAAGGGAACATTGAATTTAATTCTGAGGGGAGGTGCTGGGGTTTCAGGCAAGATTACTGGCAGGCTCCACAGTGAGCTTAGAGACCTGCAGATAGAGCTGGCACCCGAGGCCAGGGGGCTTTGAGGTGCCTTGAAAGCCACAGCTTATGTGAGGGTGTCTAGGGAGGCTCCCCCAAACATAGCTCCAAGGAGCCTTCCAGGAGGGGAGGATCACAAGAAATCCCCAGGAAGCTGGAGCAAGGCCTGGAGTAGAGATCACATGGGTGGAGGGGGGCAGAGAAAGAAGCTTCTGGAAGGAATGGGTGCTCAGAGGACTGTGCAGAACAGTGATGGATATGGAGATCACCCCAGAGCCTGAGAAGGTGTGGGAGGGGGAAGGTGGGCTCTGGAGATGAAGGACAGGAGAAACCTGACAGAGGAGGGGAGAAGGCGGCTACCCAGATGCGATGTGAAGGGGACCCTCAGACTCTAGGAGGTGGGATGTAGGGCTTCAGGAGGACCCCCATGAGGGGAACAGGCAGGAGAGGAGGAGGAGGAGGAGGAATCTGGTGTTGGAGGAAGTGGCAGATATTCAACCACAGCTGGTTCCGCTGGAGGAAACCACCCTCCTTCTCTCTCAGGGAAACACTCCGAGGAGTAGGACAGCATCAGTCACCAAGCCTCAGTATCACTTACGCGGGCCCAGCAGGTAGCCGGCGCTGTTCAGGGTCCAGCCTCTCTTCTCCTTTGCCTTTGGTGAAAAAAAGGGGGTCAGGGAGTCAGAGTGGAGGCGCCTAGAGTGGGAGGTGCCCAGGCTCTTCAGGCACAGCAGAGCGAAGCCTGGGAAAGCCCGGGTTCCTCCTCTCCAAGTTATAGACACACAGGATTCCCACCAAAGCCCAGCCCAGACTTCTGTTGTACCCCCACTGGCTTTTGTAGGATACCGGGGACTGCTGTGATAAGGCATCTGTTCATCTTATTTTTAACTTGCCCAGGAGCTGAGCTGAAGTGCGGCGCTTTCCGGGGTAGCTGTCGAGCCTGGAGGAAGTGTCCTCTGGGGCCCAGGAGCTCCTTAGCTCCAACCCTGAGCTGTCCCCCTAGCCCAAGCGGGCAGAACTCAGGGACTTAAGCTCCAGTCCGCACCCCAGGTTGGTTCCCTCTCTCCCTTCTGCAGACGCATCTGTCCTGCACTTACCGGGGCCCCGAGAGCCCAAGAGGCCGACAGGGCGGCGAGCAGGAGCGACAGGAGCAGGAGGGCACCGGCCCTGGCCATCTGGAGTGAGGGAGCCGGGCAGTGGGCACCTGGCCTGGAGAGAGCGGGCGGACAGGCGGAGGAAAGCGGATGGCACCGGGACGGGGGCGGCCGTCCGGAGCGCGCAGAGTGGCTGGGAGCGGAGAGTGGACGGCACCACGCGGGCACCTTGAGCAGCTGCGCCCGGGATGGACGGCGGTCTCGGGGGTCGCGAGTCGTGGACGGACTGGGCCGAGTCCGGTGGGGTCGGGTCGGGTTGGCGGCGCTCACTGCATGGCGTGGCAGCAGCGGGAAGCGGCTGCTGGGCTCCCTCGACGAGTCCGCAGCCGGAGGCGTCGCTGCCACCGCTATTTATGCATCACGCGGCGCCGCCTCCCGCCCGCCGCGACCGCAACCGGAACCCCGTTCCCCCGGGACGCGCATCGCATCGCGGCAGGGGAGCCACACACCCTCCCCGGCCCGTGGCCCGGGAACCCGCCCATCATCTGGGATCCGGAGCGTCAGCCCATCTCTCCCACCCCCGCAGCCCGCGACCAGGGCTCCAGGCTGCTCTCTTCCCATCCCCACTGTGGGGCACCCCTCTTCCGGGCTAGAGTGGGGGATCAGGCCTTGGGACTGTCCTTGCTGGGGCAGGTAGAAACTGCCCCCTCCTGCTAAAAGGGGGGGGAGAAAAAAAAAAAAAGGCTAATCATCCAGATGTAGGCAGCTGTGGGCCCTTCCTTCTCGACGCAGGGGCACTAGGTTGGCGCCCCCTCCTGGCTCTGTACCGGCTAGGATAACAGCGGGTTGAACCGTGGTTGAGAAACGCCCAGCCACTCAGCCTCAACTCCCTGAGGCCACCAAGGCTGACCAGGTGGGCACCGCAGCAGAAGGAGACCCCAGCCTATCCCCCAGCCCTCCTGAGCTCCGGTCCTGCCACAGTCGGAATATCAGGGGCATGCAGTGGTACCTTCAGGCTTCTGCGGAGGGAGGGGGCTAACAGCTGACGATGTACCTGACAGTGTCCTCCTACCTGGCGGGATGCAGTCCAAGTCCTCAAAAGCCTTAGCTCTCAGAGCTGAATTTTAGATGGGCCATCTGGGACTCTGGGGTCACCAAGACAGAAGATAAATGGTAATTATGATTAATGCCTGCCATTTTACGCCTCCCATATCAATCACAGGCTCTTTCTGCAGACAGGTGGGCACCTCTGCGAGGCCCATCTGCCTCTGTAGTGGTGAGGAAGGACAAGGGCACCCAGGCACGCCAGCCAACTGCCGGTGTGGAGTACAGGGTTCCAGCCCATGTGTTGAGGGCCCGCTCTAGGCTGGGAGAGAGAAGACAGATGGTGTGTGGGCTGAGGAGCAGGGTCCTGTCCAGGACAGGCTGAGGGGCAGAGCTTTCTTAGGGACTTGATTTGACTTTCCTGCAGCCTCGGTAGGAGGGGGCCCTGAGTGGCAAAGCCCATGGTGAAGCCCAAAGTGAATGCCCGCTGGAGAGGGAAGAGGGGTGAGGGGCTGTCACCCTGGCAGCCACAACAGTTGAGGGGACAGGACAGCTGAAATGAGGAAGAAAAAAAATGTCTCTTGGGACTCAGAGGTGTGACAGGGACACCTTTTATGCCCACATCCTTGTGTGTAAATACACCTGAGGACCTGGCAGGGGCTGGGGCCACTGGGCCCAGGTGACCCAAAGAAGCCATGCTGTGGCAGTGGTTGGTTCCTGGTGAGTGCTGCTATCATTTGGAACTCTTGCTTTGCTCCTGAGAACGAGTCCAGCCCAGTTCACTGACACCTTGGCCCCCTCAGCCCTCTCCTTTCTGCCCCAAGTGCCCCTCCTGATCTTACCAGAGCCGGGGAACATGTCGTTCTCAGTCAACCTTGTCAAAGAGGTTCCTGGTCTGTTTGAAAAAGCAGACATTCTAAACCCAAATCTTTGCAATATATCAAAAATAAGACACAAAGCCTGTCCCTTCATCAGGGGCTGGAAAAAAAGATGTGCTCTAATAAGCTTTCACTGGGATGAGAGTTTCCTTGTTCTGTTTTAAAATAAACTTTGGCATAGTTTACCTGTAAGAACCTTCTTACCAGACTTTACACCCTGGCATGCAATCTATGACCTGGCTTATAATCTCAGTTATCCAAGAGGCTGAGGCAGGAGGAGCCCAAGTTTGAGGCCAGCCTGGGCAACACAGCAAAACCCTGTTTAAAATTTTGAAAAGAGCTGGGCCTCTAGCTCAGTAGTGGAGCACTTGCCTGGCATGTATGAGGTCCTGGCTTCTACCTACAGTACTTAAACTGCCTTTAAGTCATTCTCTTTCTTGCAAATGTTTAAAGTCAACAGGTTCAAAGGGGTGTGCCGCTGATCACCCATGCTCTCTCGCCTCCCCCAGCTCCCCAGAAAAGTTCAGTCTTGGAGCCACGGTTGGGGTCTCACAGTGGGGACAAGGTGGCCCCTGCAGGCACAGTGCACAGCCGCCTGCTTTCCCCAAGTGGGTATTGAGGCAGGGCCCTCACACTGTCTCTCAATAGTCCCCAAGCTTTTCTGAGGAAGAGGGTGGAGTCACAGGAGGTGTTGGCACCACAACCAACAAGAGGAAAAGAGTATGTGTGTGTATCTGCGTGTGTGTGTGTGTGTGTGTGTGTGTGTGTGTGTGTGTGTGATGTATGATGTATTTAACTGAACTAGGGACTGAACCCAAGACCAATGCACTGAACTCCATCCCTAGCAGGCCCCAGGGGCCCCTATTTGAGATAGTGTTCTGCTAAGTAGCTAAATTGCCCAGGCTGGGACCAAATTTATAGTCCTCCAGCCTTGCCTTCCCAAAGGGAAGGCCCCACAATGCCCAGCTAAGAACATTTTTTATTTTATGTTTTATTTCATTTTATTTTTGTCTTTTTGAGACAGGGTCTCACTGTGCAGTTCAGGTTGGCCTTGAATTCACTTCGTAACCCAGGCTGGTCTTGAACTCACAACAATCCTCCTGCCTCAGCCTCTCTAGTGCTAGGATTTCAGGCATGCACCACCATACCTGACTAAAAACATAAAAAAAAAAAAAAAGAGTCAAAACATCAGGTACCCTTGTCTTAGTTATTCAGGAGGTTAAGGTAGGGGACTCACTTAGGCCCAAGAGTTCAAGGCCAGCCTGGGCATTGTAGTGAATTCTCATTCAAAATATAAACAAATGAACAAAAATTAAAGAGAAGCTGAAATCACCCTTTGACCCTTTTTTTCACATTGTCTCACAGAGAAATCATAAGCAACCATAAACAAATCTCCATTTAAGAAGGTTTCAGTGGAGTACTAGGCTCTTGGTTTTGCAGAACTGAGGATTGAACTCAGGCCCCTGTACTTGCCGGGCAAGCACTTATTCTACTGAGCCGTCTGCCCAGCCCCCAGCACTTGTATTCTATGGACACACCCCTGCCTGCCTCTTCCCCGGTGGGGTACAGCACTTGTCACTCCTCCCTTGTCTAGGCGAGGGGATCTATGTCAACCCTGGGTGTGGCTGGCACCCTGGACCAGAAGCATTGGGTGCGTGGGACTGTATCCACCCCAGAGCAGGTGGGAGGGGAGCAGGCAGCCTGCTGTGGCTTCCCACGGTCAGCAAAGCCAGTCAGGCAGATGAGGACAGCGTGACTGAGCTGACAGCCCTCCTTCCCGGTACAGTCTGTGCTGGAACCCAGGCCGCTGTTCTAATGGGCTCCACGCTCAGCAATGACCCATTGAGAGTCATTGTCAACCTGTCATCTTCAAGACGGCCCAGTGTGTGGCGGACAAAATGGGTCACCATTAGAGTAATGGAAATCAGGCAGAAAGCAGCATTTCACTGCTCTTGTGAGCAGACTCATCCTCCCTTCAAGGCTGTGCTCACCACCACCCAGAAAAACAGCCTGCATCTGACGGCACTCAAAAGCATGGAGCCTGAGGACATCCACACTGTGACCCTGCATGGAACCTTGTCCCCCCACTGACCTAGAGCTGGGGCTACGGCAGGGATGTGAACTGCAGAGGTCCCAAAACTCCCAGAGGGGAGGTTCTAGTATCCACCAAACTTACAAAAACAATGACATAAATAGCATCCTGCTGATGGTGAGAAAGAGACACACGGTTTCAGGGAGCCAGACCTGACAGGTGGCCAGGTAGAGGGGGGCCTAGGCATTCCAAGAAGAGGGGACAGAGGGGGAGGCTCTTTGTTGCCCTTCTCCTTTCTTTCTTCTTGATGCCTAGAAGATAGATGGAAGACCTGGAGGTGTGCAGCTGCATTGGACCACGACATGATGGCTTCAGATGATGGAGAGCAGGACCCAAGGGTTCCAGTACTGGCTCATCCTCAGACTGGGTCCCTGAGCTGCTGATTCTAGGCTTATTTCACAGCGACAAATGCACTTCCTCTTATTTAAGCCAGTGTCATTTGAGGGTTTTCTATTATCTGTAGTTGGGATTACTGTAATCAGTCTCACACAAAAGCTCAACAAGTCTTTGATGAGTAAATTAGTGAATACAAACAAATGAAAGCCTGCATCACTGCAGATGCTGGCAAGGAGCTGCTGTTAGTAAGACGAGCTCTTGAAGGGCAAGGCTGGAAGGCTGTGACAAATGCATACCACCTGCCGGTTCCGCTGCCTGACCTCACTGCTACTGGGAAAGTGAGTAAATGCTGGCTGATGTACACCCGGCTTTTATCTCACAGGTTCCCTGGAGTGGCTGCTGGCCATCTGAGGCACCCCTTGCTGCCCACTGCCCTGCTCTTCTGGCACTGAGACAGAGAACATGAATGCACCCTGCAGAGTTGCCGGTGTGGAGTCTGGCTCTGACGTTGCACCCCTGGACGCCCCCCCCCGGGGGGGGTGCTGGCTTAGGGCAAACCTGGGGCCACTAGAGCAGTGCTGGGCTTTGCGTCTTCTAAAGGTGCTTCACTCTTTGTTAGCTGACGCCCTTCCCCGCGTCATGGGGGTCAGCAGGGCCACTCTTCTACCATCCCACCAGAACACATCTCCTGTGCAAGCTCAGGTCTCCCCTAATGTTCTACAGTGAGTGGG